ACTGAAGTCTATGTGCCAATCATTTCATCACCTGCGGCGATCAGGGATGTTGTTGCGTCAGTGACAGCTCCTGCGTCGATTCGGGGTCAACTATGCGGTTCAGAAGGCCTCCCGCGTCAGGAAGCGAACCAATGTGCTATGGTGTATTTCTCCAAGGGCCTCCGGATCGGCTAGGGGATCCCGCCCCGTGTCACCAGAATGACGGCCGGGAGACACACCGCGGTGGGACGAAATGATCCTCCAGCCCTTTCCTGGGAACGGTGACGCGTCCCTAATGTTGTACTGAAGAGGCGCCTTTCCCGAAAAGAAATACGTCTCATTGGCGTCAAATTGAGTGTGTCGAATGAGTGAGTTCAATGAGTTCAGAAATCACGAGGCTATCCCATGTCTGCAGGAGAACATTCATTCTTTTGTAGAATAGAATAGAGAGACAAATACAATTAAGAGGTTTCAACCTGCGCGCCGGTTGCCGACATCTTAGTGACCAGCGCGCCTGCTTTAACCACTGCGCGTCTGGGAAACCAAAGGTACGGGTTTTTTCCCCGAGGCGGCGCCATGTAGCTTCAGCAGCTGATTGCGCCGCAAAGGGCCAATGACGCACCAGCAATGTCGGGTAGCAAGGGCAGCGCGTTGTGTGCACATAGATTGCGTCTGCGTGCTCCATAGATGGCCCCGTGGAGCGTCGATAGATGGCGCAGCGACGAGAACTACCGGCAAGTGGCGCCGCCTCGCTGCGCGGCCGCTAGTGTAGCTAGTGAACCCTTTTGCTTGTTTGACAGATGACCTGGTGTAAACGACGGCGGAAAAGGGACTTTGATACATTTTTATTGTTTCTCTTATATACTTTTTTGTTTCTGAAACAAACAGCACAGTCACCCAGGAAAATAAACACGCTGGCATACCTTACCTACTTTACCTTATAGTGCTCGGGGATTTTTAAAAGGCCACTAAGCCTGAAGGTCCTGGTCTCGTCAGGCTCCCGGTCCGGTAACCGAACAGTCTTAAATTATGAATAGATTTAGTGCGGGACGTCACACATGATGTCAGCCCCGTGCATATCAAGCCTAGAAGCCTATCAAGCCTATCAAGCCTATCAACCCCGTGCAACTGTTCAACTGAGGCTGACGATACGACCGCGTATGGAAGAGCGTTCCAAACGCTGACAACCCGCGTGCTGAACGAGTTACGACGGACGAGAGTCCTAGCTCGAGGTTTTCTGAGCTTCCATTGGTGTCCTCTTGTCACCTTCGAGTTGTGCCTTGTCAGGAACTCCTCTTCCGACAGCGACAAACCTCCGTGAAACAGCTGGTACACTGTTACCATGCCTTCCCTGCGACGACGGTAGTACAGCGAGGGCAACGGTCTGAGAGTCTGAGCCTCTCAGGGTATGGCTGGCGACTTAATTCATAGACAAGCCGGGTAGCTCGTCGCTGAACCCGCTCCAGCCGCTTCTGGTCCAGTTTGCCTAACGGGCCCCAGATGACGTCGCCGCGCTCTAAGTACGGACGCACTGAGATCTTGAAGAGCAATGACAACGTGCGAGCAGCAGAGTATTGGCAAAAGACCACCTCACGACCGCCAGCATCTGGTTGGCCTTGGAGATCGCTTCCGCCGTCTGCACGTGGAACTGGAGCCGGTAATCCAAGAAGATCCTGAGGTCTTTCTCGGTGGACTCGACCGCGATTTCGGTGGCGTCCAAGAAGTAGGTGAGCCTCAGGTTTCAGTTCCCGATGTGCATTATTTTAGACTTTGCTGCACTGAAGGGAAGCAGCCACTTCCTTGACCACTTGACCAGGGCGTCGAGGTCAACCTGCAGAGGTGAGTTAGTCAGGGGCCTCGGGACACGACAGTAGACATTGATGTCATCCGCGAACATCTTGACCACGCTTTGCACTTGTTCTGGCAGATCGTTCACGAAAATTATGAACAGCCTTGGTCCAAGCACTGATCCTTGCGGGATGCCGCTGACGACGTCGGTCCAGTCCGACTTCGAGCCCCAGATCCGCACTCTCTGCATCCTGTGAATAAGACAAACCCTAATCCAGCATAGGAAATTGCATCTCACACCGTAAACATGAAGCTTGGAGAGCAGACGGTTATGAGGCACAGAATCAAAGACTTTGCTGAAATTCAGGTACGCCACGTCCACTGGCTCTCCATCCTCTACTGCGGGGCTCCAATCTTCCATGACCTCTAATAGAAGGGTGATATAGGACCGCTTAGGGGGAAACCCATGCTGGGCTGCATGAAAAAGTCCAAACTCCAAGAAGTGATGAAGTAGGGCATCACGGACGAAAGTTTCGAGTATCTCGGAGGGAATGGCAGTAAGAGTCACTGGGTGGTAGCTCGCTGGAGACTGTCGGATGCCTTTCTTCAAGATCGGGACTACCTCGCCAAGCTTCCACTCCTGGGGGAGCCTTTCGGATGCCAAAGATTTTCGGAAAAGCATGCTGAAGGGCGCTGCCAGGACATCTGCGGACTCACAAATAAGCCTTGGGTGGACATCGTCTGGCCCAGGGGCGCTCGAGGTCTTCAGAGCAGTCAATGTCTTTACCACTGTCTGGCTAGAGATGTCCACGTCATCCAGAAAAGGTCCAGTTAAGTTGCACGGCAGCACAGGCATGGCACTAGTCCCTTCGTCCGTGAAAACACTGGCGAATAATTTACAGAGGACATTGGTCTTCCCTTCGTTACTGCTGGTCAACACTCCATCATCGGCAAGAAGGTCTCCCACCCTGCATATTGTGCGTAATCTTGAGTTGGCGTACCTCCAAAGGGCCTTGGGGTTTCTTTGAGGTCCGCCACTAATTTCATCTCATACTCTTTACGAAGGTTCCTGGTCAACTTCCGAAGGTCATTGCGACACCGCACAAACCTGGCATGGTCCAGAACATCCTGAGTCCGCATGTACGTACGCCATAGTTTTTCCTTAGTGTTCTTTAGCTGCATGGCCCTTAGGTTCATGTACAAGTTTTTCTTAGGTTTAGTCCTTCTCTTCACGGAGCAAACCTCAGTAGCCCTGGCGATTTTCTTCTTGAAGAACTTGTGAGCATCTTCGAGGCTGAGGTTCTCCATCAGCGACCAGTCCATTAGCCCGAGGGTGTCAGCCAGATACTCGTTCTTTGTGTGTGTCAGCTGGCCGGGACGAGGAGTTTGTAGCCCAGAGAAGCAGACCAAAGTGTACCTGATTACCACATGGTCACCGTTACCTAGCCCAGACAGGTATTCGATTTGGCTCACCATGCCCTCCTCGTTTGTGAAAATGGGATCCGGAACGCGAGGCGCTTCACCAACCCGGTAGCGTGTTGGCTGCTGGACATGCTGGAACAAAAAACAGTCCTAGATGGAATCTATTAGTGAGTGGGTTGGGTGACTCTCTGGAGTTGATGGCCGCTCTGTTGTCCAGTCAATCTGAGGCAAGCTAAAGTCACCTACAACCATCAAGTGAGAAAAGTGGGCTCTGCATGTTCTCTGAATAAAGTCTTCCAATTGGCCCACAATGCCTTGGATGTTGCCTGATGCATTTCTGTATATGCAACCAGGCAACAGGGCGTCCTTCCCACTCAAAACCATCTTCAGCCACACTTGCTACAGAGAACTTGACCCAAATGAGTGTTCAGCTGCATTTAGTAAGTTGGACACATAGACACATATGCCTCTCCTACCACCAGATCCGAGGTTGGGCAGAGATAGATTAAAGTTTGCGTACATGGTGTACCCGGACACCATACCGGAACCATACTGGAACCATACGTAGCCAGAATACAACAAATCTAGAAGTGACAGCAAAGTTATCATCATATATTACTTGACACACCGAATACTAACTTATCACGATGTATTTTGAACTAGACGAACTATGGTATCGCATACATCGAAGCACTTTAACGACGCCTCAAATATGTCTCACCAGATTTGACTTGGCGTATATTTACTCAGCACAAATTCCGCAGCTTTTATGTCACGAATGCTACATTTTGAGGACAGAAAAGTCCGATAAAAAGGCAAATATAGCTCTCTTACCAGAGCAATTTCCGCTATCGCTGTTGACGAAACAGACGGCTTCCAGCGGCGCACGTCAAACACCGCGCCCCTCGCCACGTCAGCTGACTCCGAAGCAAAAGGGTTCACTAGCTACTCCAGCGACCGCGTAGCGAGGCGACGCCACTTGCCGGTAGACCTTGTATCGACATCTATACATCTATCGATGCTGCTCGGGTGCCACCTGCGGAGCACGCAAACGCAACCTTTATGCACGCAACACCCGGGTTCCAGTTTTCGTAAAACCGATCGGCGTTGGCCACTGCAAGTAACGCCGAGGGGCGGACGCCGTGCGCCGCTTTTGGACGCGCTTGATAGCGCAGACTATGTGGCATCGCCTGCCTGTCATCCTAGCAAGAAGGGCGGCTTCTGCGGGCCAATAGGAGTCTAGAGATAGTGACTGCTCTCACTAATACTCAGCCCCATAAAAGCCTCAGCCTCATCTCACTAATCCTCAGCCTCAGCCCAAAACCCTTCTTGGGAGTGACACCTTTTTCAGCCATAATCACATTTGTTTAGATTAATTTTATGTGTAAATGTCAGTGGTGGGTGTTGCCTAGCTGAGCCACCGCATTGATTCGCAGGTAATTATTATCGCCACCAATTCCCTGTCATAAGCTGACGAACAAGGAACGACTGCAAATGTTGACAAAAACATAATGGTCGAATGGCGAAAATTTTTCGCTATTGGAACGAAAAACTCCCCTAATTGTGCTGCCTGTGTAGGCATATAAAATTGTTGGGCCACATTTTTAGATATTTCACAGTTTATCCCTCACGACAATTTTATCTACCGTACTTTATTACGTTTAATAGCTTAAGGTAAATTTATAATTGATTAGATACACAGCTTCTGAGAATGAGTCTATCTACTAGGCATGTCAGTTTTTTAAGGTATCCGGAATAGCTCTCTCTGTTGATGCGCCATCAACGTCGATATTGTATTCCGCGACGTTTGGCTGTGCTGGTGGTTGGAGGACGTTCGTGGTCACTGGATGGCATGGAGTAGGGGCACGTTTCTCGTACGATTGTACCATTGCGTGCCCCCCATGCACAGGAAATTTGTTAAATAACATTTTTTATCATAGGGAAGGGTTGCGATGGGTTATCGCGAGGCGGTATTCATGGGGAAGGAACAGCTGTTAACTGTGATGGTAAGTGACGAGTCATGCCTGGAAGCCATACTGCTGAAATACACGTTACACCCAATATTTCAGGCATAGCGGCGGTGTTACGGCAATAGTTTCAGAGCATGCACACTGTAAGTATCAAATCCGCGATTGTGGTGCCTATAATGGTGCATAAAGAGCCAATGTTGCAAGGATTTACAATGTCGCTATTTATATTTCAAACAAAAGTGCCTTCAAGATGTGTCAAAACACAAAAATAGGTTGAAAATTGATGAAAATTTAGCCTGGCCTGAGGTTCTGCATGTGTGCTCTGTAGGTGGCCTCTTGAAAATACATCCCATATGCTAGACAGCTGCACTACATTGTTGCACCTTGTGCTCTTGCGCATCAAACCTAGGTAATACCAAAGTATGGAAAAGTTTCCAAGTGTTTCTGTGAAAAATGATTTGGAGCACTTCTCCTGAAATGACTTTTGCATCTTCCCTCCATAAAACATTTGCTCCCCATGTGCTGTAGTTGGTGATCATGCACCAACCAAACTGAGATTTCTAAAGTTTTGGTTGGCATTGGCTGCAATTTTGCTGCTCTATTGCATCTCCAGCAAAGTCTCCAGTACTATGGACTTGTTCAGTGTAACATGTATCTCTTACAGTTTGAAGCTGTGACATAGTTCATAGCATGTGTGATCAGATTGTGTTATGGCAGAGCTATTTTGCATGTGTCACACATATCTCATTTATCATATGCTGTCATGGTATGTCTGGGTACTATATATGCTATCATTTTATACATGGGGATATTATGTGATGGTCTCTAAATATTTGCCTTTTTTAGCATTAATTGTAAGCATCGGTATGTACATAATTGAAGGCATGCATATATAGCTAAAGAAATTAGAACTTTAGTTGTATTAATGTTGTCATACATCATTTAAGAGATTTCACAAGCCTGCTACACTTCAGACTTGCTTTTTACTGGCTTTCTTTAAAAGAAATATCCAGTTTTTCACTCTCTCTCCTGATTGTTAACTCCTGTTTACCCTGTAAACTCCTGTATATGTTTCTAAATATGAATAATATTGCATTTGCACATGCATAATTTGCTGCTGTGAAAGAAATATTGATTGGGATGAAACTAGGGTGATGTTTGTTCTGTGTACATCATAATCCAGTCATAATGTTAACCAGCAGGATTATCAGAAATATTTAGGAATAGGTTGTCTATTACATCAAGCCTTTAGGATCTTTTAGGATTCCCAGTCCTCTGGAATGGTAAGAAGATCAGTATCCTGCCTTGACACTCTGCATTTTAGTGTATTGACACTCTGTATTTGCAGTGTCCAGTAACAGTGCTGGTCCATTTGCTTACGCGAGCTTCAAACATTAAGCCCACTGGATATTTGGATGGAATTTCAGTGAGCATTGGGTGAAACCTGTGGATGGGGATCCCCATCATATAACTGTTTTTAGTGATCATGGAGCTAACCAGTGGGTCATATTTAGACAGGTTTCTGCTGTGAACCAGTACCCTAGTTAAAAATCAAAGGTGTTTTTGAGTTTGGTTTGAGTTTTGAGTGGTTTGAGTTTGAGTAGCTTCCTTAATATCACAATGATTCTGCATTTTGCCATTAAAATGGGGTTAATTGGTGATGTACTGATAGTATCATGACTGCAGCACCCTCTTAATAAATGACATTGTCATCTAGGTGTATTTCAGCATCGGTCAGTGCGTGCAGTAGTTTTCTGATCTTTGCCCGTGAGGAGACAATCACATACCCCAGTGTGTCAGTAATCTGCTGGCAGGTGGTCCAAGCACATGGTCTTTGTTGATGTGTGCAAGGGCCCCTCCCTGGTCCCCTGTTGACCGCTGGATGAGGGCGGGCTGGCAGAGCGGGAGACGGCTCCTACACAGTGCTGGAGTCCGGCAGCATGCCGATCATGCCCGCAGTGATCCTCCAGTGCCAATTGCCCCTCCCCCCTCCCCTTCTGGCCCGGCGCTGTGGTGCGGGCTTCCATCCAGCCGAACGAGACAGCTTTCCGGGGACCGCGGAAAAACCCAGACCCGCGACCGCGGCTGAGTTTTCGGGCAGAAGACCTGTTACAAGTCTGTGTCCAATTTTAAGTAGATAAGCACTTTAACAAGCTCACTGATGACTTCGAGATCAAAGTGTGTGGCAGGGAAGCTGTGTGTGTGGCGAGTCTTGTATAACCCCGAACAGGCTCTAATTCCGGATTGTCCGGCTCCCGTTGCCGTGCTTCATGATGCGAAATGTGCCAATCAATCCGGTGTGCTAGTTCTCCAGACACGTCGTGTTGCGTAGGCGGGCCATTCTGCCATTTGGGAGTACCTGCTGCAGCTGTGCTGGCCGCATTGTGTGTGTGGTGGGTGTGGGATGAGGGCATTTGGGACTGACATATCAGTGATCATGTTATCAATGAGTGTGCGGCGAGGTAGCCGTCACCCCGCCAAGGGTGCGGACGGGGTAACCGTCACCCCACCAAGGGTGCGGACGAGGTAGCCGTCTTCCCACCAAGGGTCGCAGACGAGGTGGCCGTCTTCCCACCAAGGGTACGGACGAGGTAGCCGTCACCCCGCCAAGGGTGCGGACGGGGTAGCCGTCACCCCACCAAGGGTCGCAGACGAGGTGGCCGTCTTCCCACCAAGGGTACGGACGAGGTAGCCGTCACCCCGCCAAGGGTGCGGACGGGGTAGCCGTCACCCCACCAAGGGTGCGGACGAGGGTAGCCGTCTTCCCACCAACGGTGCGGACGAGGTAGCCGTCGCCCCACCAAAGTCTGTATGCAGGCCACTCGCTGAGTTGCGGTGCCTTCCTGACGTTGTGCAGTTGGCAAATATGATATCAATGTTCAATGGAGAGGACAGTAGGAGCCTTCAGAATACAGTTTGATATCCCTGCTGCCCCTTTTTGGGAGCGTCATGGCATGAACCTACACAGAGAAGGAGCCTTCAGAATGCAGTTTGATATCCCTGCTGCCCCTTTTTGGGAACGTCACGGCATGCACTGTGTGTGATGAGCTGTCCCCCACTATGTTTCGTTCGTGCTGCAGCCTGAGCGGCATGGTTTAAGTCCGAGGCGTTGGGGCAACCCGAGCGTTAATGTTTATGTTAAGTCTGCCTGGGAGGCCATATTGGACTGATGCCAGACGCGTGCCATTTACATTGGTTATTCAGCTGCGCTTTCAGAACGTCAACCATATGCTCCTCCCCCGCACGCCCACCATTCGAGGGAACGTGCACTGCGGGGATTCGTCTCGTATCTGTCCGATTGGCGTCATAGGCTCGTGGTCAACGGAACACTTTCGATTGAAAAGCGGTTGGCCCATGGCCCTGTGGAGGGTGACTCCTTTTCACCGTGTATTGAAGATCATCTGCGTCGCATTGAATGCGGCTGCTTCCTGCTTGCCGGTGATACGAGTTTTTCAGCCGTTTCGCGTCCCCAGCTAATGGTAGTGGAAGGCGTGGAGGGATCTGGATTATGACGAAGCATTATCTGTCAGATGGGGCCGACCGTCGATCCTCCACAATCTCAAATGCTCAGGCTGGCCTTCCCACCTCCAGACCAAGTATATCTCTGATGTCCTCTCCCGATCAAGTATTTTTCGGCAGAATTGGCCGTAAACACGTGTGTAACTTAATACACTCCAGCATTCGTGATTTGTTTTTATAGCACTGAATACCAAACTAATTTCTCACATATCTCTGACGTAGTCAGTGGGGGCACGCAAGCACGCACCTCCGTATTCCGTCTTGACAAGGCGGTCCCAGCAGGCCAAAATTCAGCCGAATCGCAGTGATGATGGCGTAGTTTGCGAGCCTGCGATTGACGGCAGAATATAGGAGCGTGATCGGGACGGGGCAGCCAATTACCGCTCATGGTCCACATGACATTTTGTGGGTCGACAGAGAACTGCGCACGCTGCTCATTCGGTAGCCTAATCATGCATCATCCAGGAAAACAGCGGCTCTTCCGTAGAATACCCATCTGCTACAGTTCAAAATCCCACCCCTAGTAGCGCAAAGAGTGCTGCACGATATACCCTCATCTGAGAAACATCTCCCCCGTGAGATTTGGGCTCTCAAGTCATGTTCACCTGTTTCTCATCGCACGCGCGGCCTTGACCGTTCCGCGCTTAAGTTAGGCTCACCGAACAGCGCGCTCTCATCAAAATAGCTTAGAGCCGTCTGTTCTGTAGGCTGCCAAGCTTTATGGACACTTTACTGGCAAGTAATACGAGCGTGGGTGTCTTACGACAGCTTTGTATGTTAGAGTGCTTGTTATCGACTGTGATTGAACTCTGTACTGTGGCGTCTTCGATCACCGTTATGGCATGTCATCCATTGTTTTCTTGATACTGCATTATGCTTCAGATGAATTGCCTGTTTTTGAATTTGGTATGAAATACTTTGCTTGTCGATTGGGCTCTGCTCTGTTGGTGGTAAAATAAATTAAACACATAGACAGAATTAGCATGTTACGGCTGAAGACGGCCAAAGGTTGCTATATTTGCAAAACCTGTGAAGCAAAAAAACAACAGATTTTGCACTATGGCGCATCATAAAATGCTTTGAATATTGCCCTGATGCTCTCTCAAAGTGGGACTACTTGCATTAGCTGTGAAAAATTTGATGTCAAATTGTATCAGATGACAAGCCTGTTGATTTCTTTCAGCTGCTGATGGTGCACATCCAGTGTTCAAACTCGGGTGCAGTGCAGTTCACGTCTGAAAACTTTGACAAAACAATAGGTAAGAACATGCACCCGCCATTTGTGTCATTTATATGTCTGATGGATGAAACCACCTTTTATTGTGATAATTTCATGGGGAGGTATTGATTCTCCTTCCATGCTAGTAAGCATGTATGACTGGCCTCTACAAGTGTTTTAGTGAAGGCAAGTACTTACTGATTATGTTCTGAAGCTGTCTTTCATTAACTGGTGTGTTGTGCTTGGCCAAGGGACAGGAAATGGATTCAAAGTTTGTGTATAGTTCTTCAATTATTCAGTTCCTGTTGGACTTTCATTAATGTGGCAGGGCGGTACCCATCAATGCATCATTGCCTTGGAGTCTGGGAGCCAAGATTTTGGTGGCCACTTTGATGAATCTAATTTTCTATAATTTTTGACATCCAAGCTCTACTGCTGTACTTGCCACAGATCAGTGCGTGCATTAGTGGTACTGTGCTGTGCTGTGCCAGTGCTGCACTGAGCCTATGATTGTGACGTGGTGTGTTGGATATTAAATGTAGTCTAGCTTAAAATGTATGTAGCCGTTAATTTGGCAGTACTGCAATGGCTTGGTCTGTCTGGCCGGAGCTGGAGCGCTGGGCATCCCGCAGCAATGTCGCGTGCTAGTTGACTACACACGATAATGCCCCAGGCTACCATATACGACACCGACTCAGGCTACCACACACGACACTGACCTAGTCTACCACGCACGACACGGGCCTAGGCTGTCACAGACGACACCGACCTAGTCTACCACACACGGCACGGGCCTAGGCTACCACACACGACACCGGCCTAGGCTACCACACACGACACCGACTTAGTCTACCACACACGACACGGGCCTAAGCTACCACACACGACACCGGCCTAGGCTACCACACACGACACCGACCTAGTCTACCACACACGACACGGGCCTAGGCTGTCACAGACGACACCGACTTAGTCTACCACACACGACACGGACCTAGGCTACCACACACGACACCGGCCCAGGCTACCACACACGCCACCGACCTAGGCTACCATACGCGATACCGACCCAGGCTACCACATACGACACCGACCCAGGCTACCACACACGACACCGACCCAGGCTACCACACACGACACCGGCCTAGGCTACCACACACGACACCGGCCTAGGATACCACAAACGACATCAGCGTAGGCTACCACACAAGACACCGACACAGGCTGCCACACACGATACCGACCCAGGCTACCACACACGACACCGGGCTAGGCTACCACACGACACCGGCCTAGGCTACCACACACGACACCGGCCTAGGGTGCCACACACGACACTGGCCTCAGCCAACCGCTGGTGTTTGGTCGACTGACGGGACCTCCTGCCGCAGCCTCCACCGAGCTGGTGTTTGTGAACTTCTACGCCGACTGGTGTCGCTTCAGCAACATGCTGGCGCCTGTGTGGGACAGCGCCGCCGACCTCGCCGCCTCCCGGTTCGACGGCGGCAGGGTCGTCATGGGCAAGGTCGACTGCGACCAGCAGGGTGAGCCCTCGACGGGCGTCCAGCTGTCATCGCGAGCTCGCCGGCGCACAACGGCGCCGCGGGCCGGGCGCATGCCCGCATTGTAGCCGCCTGCGGAGATCGCTACGCTCTGGTCACCGACGCGCGTGCTGTGGCGTCATTAGAGGACTGGCTGATGGTGATCCACTGGCGGTCGGCGCTGGTAAATGTTGAGCGCTCGGAAACCCACTGTGGGGTCGCGAGTTAGAAGCGTGTGAGTCCTCGCTACAGCCCCCCTCCTCTCCCCCCCCCCCGCTCCAAAATTTGCTTCGAGGCGATCAGAGTTGCAAACCGGGTGGGGCGCGCGCGAGTGTCGTTAACCGCCCCATGATGGCATGCCCCACGTATCGTGCCTGGTCCCGAAATTATTTCCAAGCGCGCGTAATGGTTAAGGCATTGGCTGATGTGTTCAACCATGTTTTTTTTATCTATCCCAGTGATGGACAAGGTCATTTAGACAACAGGCTTTCACACGGGTGTTCTTATCGGGGGCGGCTGTTGGCCGCCGTGGCCGGCACTCGACTCCGTTCGGATCACAGGACAGACAGTTCGATCGTTACAAAACATGCACTACTTCTGTACTCATATGACGATGCCACCACAGCAGCATCGTGCACTGAACAGGAGCACTGCCCGTGCGCTTCCCGTCGTTGCCAACCCGTCTCCCGACCGCGGCCGGCGCGTTGGCGGGCCAGACGGCGCCGGACGGCGCTGGCTGACAGCAGGGGTCACGGCTGACTCGCACCTGTGCCCGGTGACAGCTGACATTTGCACCTGCCCGTGGGAGTCCCCCCCCCCCCCTGCAGCGCGAGCGCTTTCAGACTGAAACGGCTGAATCGCGTGTGAAAATATTACTGAATATTATTAAAGCTAACCGGTCGAATCGCACGTAAAACTATGCTGCCGGGGACGTCTTGGCACTTCGCTGTCGCTGGAGATACGCGTGGGTTTTCCACGACGCACTGCGCGCCTGTCTGTTTCGAGGTGCTCCTGATCCACCCATTTCCGCGGTTCACATGTACAAACGGTCCAAGGTGTCAGCTCCGCGCGAGATGGGCCCACCAGCTCCGGCCGCGGGGTACACCTGTCTCTCGCCGGACGCAGGAGCGCGCCTGCCCGTCTTTGGCAGCCATGCGCGGTCGGTCTATAGCAGGCGCCACACAGGCACCTGTGCTAAATCGTAGGAAACGGGGCCGTCCATCGCAAATGACGTTGCTCCACCCGACAAAACACGATTTGCCGTCCAACGTCCAGCTCTGAAAGCTTAACTCACGTACGGTGCAGCTTGAGGTTCGACTTTAGCAAATGTACCGCATCCAACTGTCCGATAGCGGGGACTACAGTGGATAGCTCTGGAGACAACTATTGAGGCACCGAGTCCAGGCGCATTGCGTGACGCGGCGAAATCCCATTCTCTCTTTAAATGATAATGAGTATATAATTAATGTGTCGGCACGCATTGCGCCGAGCTGGGTTTGTAAACACGCATCCATCCGTGGACACAAGGCAGACGGCCGTGCGATGATTGAAACGTGCCTCAAGAAACATTTAGAGCTGCCGTGTTCAACTTGCTTTGCAATCCGTAACGCAAGGTAATTTTTTAGGTGATAGACCCCGTTCTTGATGTTACGTTTCCCGTGCCAAACATGGAGTGAAGAACGTTATATATTACGTTGTGTTTCATACTTATGTTCTCTTCTGTATCACGTTCCCTGCCTATGGAGTGAAGCGTACCGTTCACTCAAAAGGCTGTCACATGTCTCTCCCGCATGCCGCGAGGTACACCTGCTCTCCCCTGGCGTGGGGTACAGCCGTCTGTGCCCCGGCCCAGCGTGCACCTGACTTCCCTGACGTGGGGTACAGCCGTCTGCGTACTGACGCAGTGTGTACCTGACTCTCCCCTGGTGCGGGGTACAGCGGCCTATGCCCTGAGACAGTGTGTACCTGACTCCCCTGGTGCGGGGTACAGTCATCAGTGCCTTGACGTAGTGTGCACGTGCTCTTCCCCAGACGGGATCGCGTCCCGGTTTCACATCAGCAAGTACCCGACGCTGAAGCTGCTGCGTAACGGCCACCCGGCCAAGTCAGAGTACCGCGGCCAGCGCAGCGCCGAGGCGCTCGTGCGCTTCCTCGAGGACGAGCTGCGCGACCCGGTGCGGGTCATCAACGCCACCAGCGACCTGCGAGAGGTCGGTGTGCGCCGCCGGCAGCCGGATGGCCTGGGGGTGTGGTGTCGCGAGCGCCATCTATCCCTTCCGTCCGTTGCGGGCCATCTGGTGATCGCTGTGGAAAGAGCCGGTGCACCGCGGCTGTTGGGCCTGCGTGCGACTGGGGGCGATGCAGGCTGGGGTGCCGTCCGTGGTGTTTTATAAAGATGTGCCGCTAATCTTACGCGAGCAGAGGGGATGGGAACGGTGCATTGATGTTGTCAGAATTCTGCTCTTTGTGCTGTGTTCAGTTGGGAAGCGTTGAACAATTTCGAGACACTGAAGGGCTTTAACCTAAACAAGATACGATCAGACACGAAGCGGTAAGGTGCCACTTCAAGATGCCCCGGGTGGCGCGCCGGTGTGCCGCCGGGTGTCGTGTCGCTCCCCCGCTACATTGGGGTCGACCAGGGCGACCTAGGCCGGCCCGGGGCGGCCGCCGTGACCGGCCAAAGGGCGTCCCCCGCGCCCCTGGCCCGGCTGATCTCCGAAATAACCGGGGCTCCTCGCACTCGCACTTCCAACGGGAGTGGTGGCGATCCTTTCGGATTTATCGGCAGGCGGTTCATGGTCTCGAGCGCAGAGTGAACGGCTCGCTGTGGTGACGAGGGCGTAGGGCACCAACGGCTCACTGTGGTGACGAGGGCGTAGGACACCAACGGTTCACTGTGGTGACGGGGGCGCAGAGCGCCAACAGCTCGCTGTAGTGACGTAGGTTCAGCACCAACGGCTCACTGTGGTGACGAGGGCGCAGAGCACCATCGGCTCGCTGTAGTGACGTGGGCCCAGAACCAACGGCTCATTGTGGTGACGAGGGCGCAGAGCACCAGCGGCTCGCTGTGTTGAGAGGGCTGAGCGCCAACCGTTCACTGTGGTGACGAGAGATCAGAGAACCAACGGCTCACTTCGGTGACGAGGCGCTCTTTTGTATAGAGTACGAAGATCGCGCATTTTGAAAGTGTGGTCGAGTATTCCTGGGAGCCTGACTGTGATGCGACGGAAAACATCGGAAGTGATGGAGAGATTCTAATTCGGGGATCAAACCCGATGCCGTGGAAGGTTTGAGTTGTATTTAGCTGTCGTTCCATATACAATGCGGGAGAACGCCAGGGCGGTCAGACGCCAGGTGATCTACTGACCTGTCGAAGACATCTTGCAAGCCGCCACTAAATGCTTCGTTCAACATATCCCCGTGGACTTGCCCGGTGTCTTGTGAACCTTCCGTTTGTAACTCGGGTTCATAACGATTCTTCCGTACCGCGGCACGCACCGTCTTGTTTTTTCAAGAACCATCAGGCGATCCCGACTGCCCATGACCGATGCACTGGCTGGCGAAAACGGCTGATGGATGTGGTCGATGCAGGCGCTCCATAACAGGGACGTGATCATGTGCGTCACATCCTCTTAAGAAAAAGGTTGAGTGCGTCGAACTGCGACTGCGTGACATGACCCCACTTCTCGTTTTCCAGGAGAAGAAGGGTCAAGTGATCGGCTACTTCGAGAGCCGGGCGTCCACCAACTACCAGTCGTTCCAGCGCATGGCCACGGCGCTGAAGGACGAGTGCCACATGATCGCCGGCTTTGGGTAGGACGTCACCGGATTGAGCAGGGGCGAGGTGACGCTGGCGGCGGGCAGCACAGTGACGGCTGGATGGTCTTTCAAGAGTGTGTGACAAATATCACGTGATCTGGCAACTGGCAACGCCATATTATCTGACACCTTTTTGGCTGCGGGCTCAATCGCGTTCCCAGTCTGAGCTAGCGTGGTGGTAGGAGACGGAGAGGAAAGACAGAATTTTCTTCGGTAGTACAGGCTGTCAACCTTTGACGATATTAATTTTGGATCCCATATGTACGATCAGTTGCATTTATTGGACGGTAATTCACCGCGATTCAGTCAAATGCTGCATGGCATGCATATTTATCGGGAGCATAGTTTTGCAAAAAAAATGATTTGGAGAGGGGGCTGAACAGCTAGAATGATGTAACATACCCTCAAAATAGTTAGCAAATGGGTTTGTCTACCGATTCCGCTCACTTTCTTCTCGAAGTCGTGGAGGGAGCTGTAGTCCAACTCTGGTGGGGGGCTGGACCCCCTTCTCCCATGGCTGAGTAGGAAAATACACTTCTGATATTTATAGCTGCTTAGGAGAGTTGTATGCAGTGCAATATCACCACTGACGACATCGCGTCTCGTCGGCATAGCTTGCTCATTATACCGGACCGGAGAGACGAGTTTTCACCAGGAAATAAATAATCTTGACTAGCATAGCTTAAATAGCGACGTAATTTGGGGTTGCAAGCAGCATGCTTGCAAGCCGGTTACGGCGAGTCTTTGGTGAAAATGTAGTTCTTCGGGGCCTGGCATTCCACAAGCGTGCCAACCGTACATCTTGGGAACGCAAAGGAGCACGCAGCACTCACCACGAGTGCCACGTGAGTGCACGAGGGCACAGCTCGAGTGCCAGAAGATGTGGCGTTGCCAGATCATGTGACATTCGCCACGCGCTCTTGAAAGATCTTCCCGGTGCCGTCCGGATTGTTGACATGAGCTGCCATTTGCCAGCCACGGATTGTCGTCATGGGTTGCCATTTGCCAGCCATCATGGATTGTCGACATGAGCTGCCATTTGCCAGCCATCATCATGGATTGTCGACATGAGTTGCCATTTGCCAGCCATCATGATGGCTTGTCGACATGAGCCGCCATTTGCCAGCCGTCTCTGGCGACTGACTGTTGCTGTGGATAGCGGCTGGGCGCTGGCCGGCCTGACACAGCTGCGGCGCTGTGCCAGCTGGTCCAGAGCCGCGGCTGACGGTCGATGTCATAGCGTCTGTTCCGCTTCTCTTCCGGCCACGTGAAGCAGTCGAGCGGTTGTAGAACATGCATGCATATGCAGGGAAAGACAATAACTAGGATATATGGGTAAAATGACGTGGACATGTAACTGCCTAAATATCACGATGTCGAGCTTTAGCAACGCATCGGCCACTGATGCAGCAGCGCTGACATGACAGTGCAGATCCGCTGGCGAAGGAAGACGGCCCGACTGCTAGTGCGGTACACCGCACGGCGCCGGCCGGGCCACGTGACGGGACGCGCGCGGCGTGTGTCGGTCGGCAGGGAGGCGTTTCGCCACCTGCTGCCCTCCGGCCGGGACACGGTGGTGGTGCGCAAGGCCGGCTCCTCCGAGGAGGTGTCGCTGCCCAACCTGGACATCATGAACACGCAGAAGCTCACCGACTGGGCGCAGAGGGCCTGCGTGCCGCTGGTCAGTCAGAAGTGGTGGTGACGGCCCCGGCTGCTTACGAGAAGGGGCAGCGTCCGACCGTTTAGGGGACTGTCCGGCTGTTTAGAGGGACTGTGTGTGGCTGTCTAGGGTGTCAGGCTCTTTGGTGAGGCAATCTCGTGTTTCGTGAGGGGAGCATCCCTGTGATAGATAGTTTGGGTGCTTTGTGGGTCAACCACGGGGGTTCCGCGAGGCTATGTCTGACTACCCTGGCCTCCGGGCTCACTCCGCGGACGCCACCTTAAGTGGATCTGGTTGCTGAGGGGCTTCTCGTGTTGCTCTCTGCTGTGTGGTTAGTGGCCTCACACCATCGCCTCTGATATGTACCGTTTTGAATGCTCTCGTCAACCGTTGTGACAAGGAGTGGCGTATTCACAGGCATACCAGATGCCTTGGAACTGGTTAGAGCCCCATTTCTTTACCTGTGACTCATGCAGAGGCGTTAAGATCATGTACCGCTATCATAATCAGGTATCAAGCCACGTGAACACCACGTGGTCTGACCCTGTGAGGCGGATGTGGTGCCACAGCTCGGGGCGGTCCCCTTGGCCCACTTCGTTGCTATCCGCCGGAGCTTCAGGACCCCCTGCGTGCGGACCAAACCACAATCGGTGTGAGGCCCCGGCTCGCGGCGCCGGCGGCCGCCGTCAGCACGGCTCGACACTGCATGACCGCCGAGACCCCACGCCGGCCCGCCTGGCCGCTGTAAGGTCGCGCTGCTGACGCGGACGCGTGCCGCCGCCAGGTGCGGGAGATCACGTTCGGAAATGCCGAGGAGCTGACCGAGGAGCGGCTGCCGTTCATGATCCTCTTCCACCACCCGGACGACAAGGAGACGCCGCAGCAGTTTGTCCGCGTGGTGGAGCAGCAGCTGTTCTCGGAGAAAAGTCAGTGATGGCGTTTTGCGTGTGGGTGGTTGGCCGTTGGTCGTTGAGGGCGCGCCGACTGCTGGAGTCGTCTGGCCCCGTTTTTGGCCGGGTTGGCTCGGGACGGAGTCGATCGTCTCGCCGGGGAGCCGAACGCTGGTGCCGAGGCGACGGCTCGGGTGTCGGCCGGAGCGCTGTGCCATTGGCTTTCGGTGGCCTGGCCAGCGCCGCGGGCGTATCTGCCGCCTTTCTGGCGGCCCCGGCTCCAGCGAGGGGTGACGACCCGTCCGTCCGTTTTCGCAGGCGCTTTTTGCGACGTGGTCACGTGACCTGTCCGTCCACGTCGGCATCACCGGCGACGGCGGTCACGTGACCCGTCCGTCGCCGTCGATAACGGTTGTTTTCGCTTGCCGCAGATGGCATCAACTTCCTCACGGCGGATGGCCTGCAGTTTGCGCACCCGCTGCACCATTTGGGGAAGACGAAGGAGGACCTGCCGCTGATCGCCATCGATAGCTTTCGCCACATGTACGTCTTCCCCGACATCAAGGTGAGTCGCTGGCGACGGGGAAACTGAAGTAATCGTATTAAATCGAGAAAATGGTCATCTTTAAGGGAGTGTCCCGTCTTTGTGGCGCATTTCAAAAACATACTCTGACGAAACCTTAGGGCTAGTTACGTGTAGTGATGGCACTGGGCAGTGCCACTGCAGCACCTTGAAGACAAGATGAGGATATCAATTTGTAATTTTTCGAGTCCAAGTTGTGCTGTCAACCTCTTGTAACAGCACTCCCCTGCAGTCGCGGCACCGTCGTCATGTAAACCGCCGTGGCACCTGTACTGGTGCAAATAAAAACAAATTTTGTCGTATACCCAGAGGTCAAGGCAGGGGCCAGTTGCCGAGAAACGAATTGGTTGAAGCTCGAACCAGTGCGTCGCAATGGATCACACGATACTCCCATTCTCAAAGCCAAAGTGCGCTTCGAAAAGAGCCACTTGTAACCGCCGTACGGAAGACATCAAAGCTTTAGTACAACGTTTCATTGCATTCAGGGGTAATAGCCCGCATGCAATGAAGCGTTCGCTTATCTTTTTGTCAAAATAGCGTGTTTCAAGCTTTCGTAGTATTTATTTCACGAGTATTTTGACAAGCTAGTGTGTCCATATATTACAGAACTTACACGGTAAAACCGGGCAAATGAAGTGTTTTACTCTCATAGTTGCGAGCAGCTGGGGGCCAACGGCACTGCTTCTGCAGGGCGGTTGCTTCAGATCAAAATTCTGGGCCGTTCTGAAGGATTTTGAGAAAGCTGGTATGACTGATCAGGTCATGCGCGTTTGATCTAACAGTCGGGTGAAAACAGATAAATGGATCTAAATGAAAAGTTCAACAAGGTGGCATACTCCCGTGAAATTGATCACCAGCACATGTATGCGGGGTTTTGTGCAAGAGCAAAAAGAGTTTGAGGTTAAAATTAATCCAGAACCGGCCTGATTGGCATAGAACCCGGCTGCAGTAGAACGTGCACCCTTGTGGCAGACTTTTTATAGAGTAATGTGAGGTGATAGGGCGACGTGACAGGCGACGTGATAGTGCTGTCAAGACACCTTTGATGCCAGCAACTCTATGTTTGTTATCATAACGAACGTTATTTTGGGTAGTGGTTGTAATCTACGAAGAGTCTGGCAGGAGTTAAGACATCGTGATAAGAGGGAAGGCCATCAAATGCGTGCCGATGGCAATGTTGCAGACATTTGGCAGCTCAAAGCGAGCAGCAAGCTCCTGGGGTTAGAGTACCCACGGCCAGTAGCGTGTGGTCGTCTTGGTCGTCTAAAACGTAAATATTGCCGTACGTTTGATTTCTCATATTTTTACTGTTTGCCTACATTGTGTCTAGCATATGTAGGCAGCTGACTTTTCCGGAATACGGGTAAAATGAAAATCCGAGACAAAATGAACAGCCAGCACCCGTACCGCGCAGCGGGCTTGTACGCTGTATTCAACGTTCGAGTCATCTGAGAGATCGAATTCAGTGCTCTCAGCCGATCGTGACCGTTGTGGCGGCGTCGCCACCGGTGAGATAGGGCCCAGCAGCCCCGGCCGCCGTAACACCGCCGGGCCGGCCGCCCCCGCAGGAGATGGAGTCGCCGGGTCGGCTGAAGCAGTTCATCGACGATCTGCACTCCGGCAAGCTGCACCGGGAGTTCCACTACGGCCCCCAGCCAGTGCCGGCGGCGGCGGCGGGCACGCAGCCGACCACTCGGCCGCCCACGTCGCCGCCGGAGTCCGTCTTCAAGAAGCTCGGGCCGTCCGAGAGTCGCTACAGTCTGCTCAAGGATGAACTGTGACCGGGGCGGGCCGATTGCAGACGAAGGGCCAGCAGAGATCGTCGCCAAGTCGTCGCCGGGGCGAGGGGGTCATGCGAGTACGGCCGGCAGCGGCTCCCGCTAGGTCATCAGGAAACCAAGAGGCTTATGTTTGTGTTGCGGCCGGCGGCGGTGACGTGTTGCGGCCGGCAGTGATCATCGCTAAGTCATCACCGAGTTGCGGGACTTCTACTTGTGTTACCTCCGAGAGCTTGTTATTCGCCGCAAATCAGCGTGCCGCCGGGGCCCTTGTGCGGAGTGAGGAGAATGAGGAGAGCCGCTCCACTCCGGCCCGCCGTCGCCTTAGCAATGAAGTCGGCATACCGGTGCCGACGGTTTGTTTTCGGGTGCTCCGAGTGGGGACGGCCGGTGCAGGAGCGATCGATGGGGAGCCCGGTCCGGTCCGCGGTGTTGATTTTGTGGTGAGTGATCTTGTCTGCCTGCACTGTGACGCGTGCCGCCCGGTCGGCCATACGCCGGAAGTGCGCTGACAGCTGGACCGCGCCCCCCGAAGAGGCTGGCTCGGCGGGGAAATCGGATGGTAGAAGGCCAGTGTTACGAGCTAGTGAACGGTAACGGACGGCGCGAGACTTATCAGGCGCCGCGTGATATCAGAGGGCATCAGTTTCCTGCACCTGCTGTGTTCCGTGTCTCTGCGATATTTGTGCACGATTGCGGGCGAAATTGTGTGATTTTGCATAGCCATTGTGTTCGTTTCCATTACATCGAGCGCGCGTCTCAACCCACCGAGCTATGAGTGAAAATAAACAATCAAAACGTAGGCATGATGTTGTTCCTCTATCTCTATGAGTTCGCGGGAGGGAAGGTCCATGACTTTCAAACCCGTTAAGCACGTCGGTTCTGCACGATGGACTGACATCCATAAAAATCACGCCCCATGGCTTTGCGATCAGATGGTACACTCTTTCTGATGTCGCAACTACGTCATCTAAAGTTGAGAATTTCTGTGCTATTATGGACACAGCTATGGCCTGTGTCTACAACCAGTGTTCGAAACGGACTTTGATAATTTCCCATAGTTCGCAGCCAGGGGGGGGGGGGGGCAGTTGCCGCCCTGCCATTGAGTCAGGGGACAAGAAAAATGTCCCCAAGGTTGGAAGACTTTTTCCCGCTGACTTTTTGTAGCATGGCACCCAACCTTGTTCCGGCAGATGCTAGTTGGCGAGAGGCGAAAGGGTTTCTGTACGGTCGTATGGTGTGTTCGTACCAAGACATTTGCTGACGTGTGAAAGGTCCCCGGACGGCTGCGGGCTACACATACGCGCGCGCGCGCGCTGGCGGTTTCGATGTCTTAAAACCGCTTAGACTAAACTAAACAAATTAAGGGCTACTATTTTTTTTCGAAAAACACTGACATGGCTGCCATAGCATAGCATAGCTGGCATAGAGGACACCCACCTAAACTTGCAGTTGCAGAAGCATAGTGGCATAACTGGTCTGCCATGCGAAAGCTACAGACATATTTTGATGTGTAGGACACAAACTGTCAGCACAGAAAACCATACGTGACTGACACGAAGCTGTTTTGCCTTACGATATAATTACATATCATATAGTTATAGTTCACAGCCTTCGAGCATCGCCTGTGCCAGGACAGCCGAATTTCTAGCGCCACGTACAGGCTGATCACGCAATGACCATGGCCAGTCATGCAATGACAGCCGATCACATGAGGTCCACGTCACTTCACAGTTAATGACGTTTGCTTTCGATCATCTGTCATTATAGCTTTCAACATCCGTGTCCGAACAGTGACAGCATGGCAGGCGCGGCTCACCGGCGCACTCACCGACGCAGAGTCGCCCCGGCGTCACCATGGCTCGCACTGTCACCCTGCTGCTGCTGCTGGTGCTGCTGAGCTCGCTGGCGGCGGCGCTAAAGCTGAAGTCGGGGAGCATTCGCTTGTGCGGCGATAACAGCCACTGCTTGAAGGGCCAGATATGCCGTCCATTGAAGTCGGCGCAGTACGTTCTCGGGCAGTGCGTGGCCGAGCCGCCCCCCGGTCCCAAGTGCGTTCCACCGTGCAGGAAGGGGGAGAAATGCGTGAAGAGCATCCCGTCTGGCCATGCATCGCTGCTACAAGAGCCGTCAAATAGGACTATTTGCGTGCGGGACATGTGCATCACCGATCATGACTGCCCTGCTGGCTCCTCGTGCAGGCACAACACAAACCAGAGCAACTGCTGCAAGCCCAGCTCGTGTGCCAAGAAGTGTCCCCCAGGCAAGACCTGCAGAGCTGTGCATCCCCCTTGTCCTAACCCTGGACCCAACCCGCCACCCTGCTACTGTCCATCAAGTTATGTTTGCATGCAAGACTTTTAGCATGCGCACTATGCCAACGGAGTTATAAAAGGTGGTGTCGATGTCTGGAACTTATAGCTAACTAGGCGAGTACTGATACTGTTTTCGCTTTGTTATCGATTATTCATTACCTGTACTCGAAAGTCCCACTGCTTCGGAATATCAGGAAGGTCGCAGCGTTTTTTTTTTTTGCGTTTCGTGGCATTTTAGTGATGTTTCCTGTGAGCATTGATGGTGTGAGTGTTGATACTGCCGTGCGTGAGGCGTATGGAGAGGGGTACCGCCGTCCAGCCCGGCCGGACTAGCTGTGTAATATATGCCGCGTAGGATATTTTGGGTCTGCAATCTATTCCGAGCACACACACAAAATGTCCATCGGCGTCCATCGTTTTTCTTTTTTTCGCAGTTCGTGTATGGGCAGTTTTCGTATTTTACAATGGCCAGCATGGCAAATCTCGTATATCATATAGTAACCACATAGTATACAGCTCATATATCATTTAGTATATGGCCCTGTCAGGTACCAAAAATACCAACATTTTGAAATTACACCGGCTTGTGTGCGGGCCACTCCAGGCAAGGTCCGGCACGACCATAACTGGGGCGCCCACGCACCCGCTGATAGCCGCGTCCAGACTCCATGCCTCTTGTAGAGTACATTGTTTGGCACCTGGAAACTTGCCACCTCTGTATGCAATACACACTGTACATGCATCGGGCTGTGCTATATATTGCACACACAGACAAACATACGCGCACGCACGCTGGCATGAATATATATATATATATATATATATATATATATATATATATAGCTCTCTCTCCTCTCTCTCTCTCTCTCTCTCTCTCTCTCCTCTCTCCTCTCTCTCTCTCTCTCTCTCTTCTCTCTCTCCTCCTCTCTCTCTCTCTCTCTCTCTCTCCTCTCTCTTCTCTCTCTCTCTCTTCTCTTCTCTCTCTTTCTCTCTCTCTCTCTCTCTCTCTCTCTCTCTCTCTTCTCTCCTCTCTCTTCTCTCTCTCTCTCTCCTCTCTTTCTCTCCTCTCCCTCTCTCTCTCTCTCTCTCTCTCTCTCTCTCTCCCATCTCTCTCTCTCCCTCTCTCTCTCTCTCTCTCTCTCTTCCTCTCTCTTCTCTCTCCTCTCTCTCTCTCTCTCTCTCTCTCTCTCTCTCTCTCCTCTCCTTCTCTCTCTCTCTCTGTGCGTGTGAGTTTCCTGTGGTGTGGCTGTGCGTGTGTGTGTGGGTGTGTGTGTGTGTGGTGTGTGTGTGTGTGTGTGTGTGTGTGTGGTGTGTGTGTGTGTGTGTGTATGTGTGTGTGTGTGTGTGTGTGTGTGTGTGTGTGTGTGTGTGTGTGTGTGTGTGTGTGTGTGTGTGTGTGTGTACATGTGTGTGTGTGTGTGTGTGTGTGTGTGTGTGTGTGTGTGTGTGTGTGTGTGTGTGTGTGTGTGTGTGTGTGTGTGTGTGTGTGTGTGTGTGTGTGTGTGTGTGTGTGTGTGTGTGTGTGTGTGTGTATGTGTGTGATGCAGTTAAGTGAGGTACGCAACGCACGACACAATGCAAATTTCCCCTTAAGCCGCAGACCCATTCAGAACACCCAAATGTTATGCGTCCATCAAGCAACCGGTTTTTCATTTCAAGACCTTGCTAAGCATTACACTTGATTTTATTTCACACCTGTGTCTGACACGGTCAGTGAGTGGACAGAGCGGTCATGTTGCCGAGTCGCCGGTTAGGCGCTGGATTACAAACTTCAGATGGGCCCGAAGGCATGTCCAAACTTTTGAAACCGTGCGTCCGTGTGTGCTGCATTTGTGGTTTTCGCCGAATCTGGCCTGGGGTTCTGTCCGAATATGTTTTGAATATTTACGAGAATTGCTTTTACTGATGCAGACGTGTGTGTTTCATGTTTGTGGAAACATGAAAAGAACGCGGATTAGATGGCAAATTAGATTTGAAGACGCAGATTGGGTTGAAATGGAGCCCGCGACTTAAACCTCGAAATCTGACCGCCATCCCTGCGGGTGGAACGTGGGCCACTCAGACCAATGTATCGCAAGCAACTTGGCTCGTGCACCACACATGTACCTTACATGGCTGGTCTTTGATGATTCAAAAGGCCGGTTTAAGTATCAATTGTTCAAACGAGCCAGTCCAAGAGGGCTGCGGTAATTAATGGGTGACCCTGTCCATGGCGTAGCATTGCCTCTGTGTGAAATTCCCTGAGCGAGATAATGCGGTCAGGCCCTTTGCAACGACCTAAGCTTAGTGAGGACTAACCGCAAGGCCATCCCTGCAGAGCGTTCCAACTTTATTTCCGCGCCGACGTCGCGTTCAGTCCTGGCACATTCGCAGCAAATTAAGTTAGTCACGTGCGTAGGGCATTGTTCGAGGCCATGTCACTGCCGAAGCGTCGCAAGGCCCTCCACCACGCCAGCTTTTAGAAGCGTCGCGCATGTACCCATGCATGGAGTGTGCCGACACTCGCACAGCGTGTTTTGTTGGATCGCCCGGCAAACGGATGCTACGTAGTCAGCGCTTCAGTCTGCGGGCCGTCCGTGCACGAGCAGATTGGGCCGTGACCCTCCTGCTGACATTGACCCGAGGTCGCCCGGCCCTGGGTCTGCGGGCCGTCCGTGCATGAGCAGATTGGACCGTGGCCCTCCTGCTGACATTGACCCGAGGTCGCCCGGCCCTGGGTCTGCGGGCCGTCCGTGCACGAGCAGATTGGGCCGTGACCCTCCTGCTGACATTGACCCGAGGCCGCCCGGCCCGGGTTACCACCTCCGCTCACCTGCGTCGGGACACTCCGTGCATGAGAGCATGTGCAATGCTTCTGAAAGCTGGCGTCACAGAACGCTTCGGCGATGACACGGCCGCGAACAACGTACGAGGTCACGCGGTCCTACGCACGTGACCGTCCCAGCGGGCGACGGGCGGGTCGGCTTCAGTCCGGGTACCCGTCACTGGTTGACAGCTGTCAGCGTTGGAAAGGTGCGGCTTGCAGAGCACAGCTGCACAGCACTGCACAGTTCAGCACAGTTTGCACAGCACAGCACAGCACAGCTCCTTTCAGGGGCAAAGGCAGCTCTTTCTAGTTGGTGGTGGTGGTAGTGGTGTTGGACGGGGATGTCAATTTTCATATATTTCCAGTCGACACCGACAGGGCTAATGCTAAATTTTCAGGCAGGTGGTAGGGTGCCAGCCCCCCCCCCCCCCCTCCCCCCCTCCCCGGTCCATCGCCTCCTGCCTACAAAGGTCACTTCACTGGCACGTGGGCTCGGACCTTTCCGTCACTCCCGCTGCCGTGGCTGTTGCCGCTTGTGGGTCTGCATTACATCACTGCGTGCACTAATTCATCGTCTGTATTTACCACTCATTATCGCACGCCGTATGCTGCCCGCGTGCGGCAGTCATCATTCATTCATGCATTTGATGCGGTGAGAAAGGTAAGCCATTGTGGCAATCAAATG